CAAAATATTCGTATGTCGTTTGGCTTCTTGAATTATAATGAACCAAATTCCCGCATCATGCATGTTCACCACCTTGTAACAATATAAATTCAAAAAGCAACGTATAAAGTCGTTAAAATAGATGTGCAAGTTTGTCGGTAGTGTTAAAATAGTTCATAATCCATTAAATACACACGCAAAAGGCAGTCGCTTAAAAACAAAAGAGAGCATATTCTGTTTATGAGATTTTAATGTCAATATTTTAAGAAAACAATAACAACAACAACAATAATAGCAAAAAGATAAACGTGACAAACTGATAGAAATAGTCATGAAAATATTTATTTTTAGAGCACTTATTAAATGATTAAATGATGACGAAAACGGTCTATGTTCTGTTAACGACCGATAAAGAATTAATCTATTTGGTCCTTTCGACATACGGACTTTAATATGGCGAAATCACTGATTTGTAAGTAAAATATTATTTAAATACAAAATAGAGTAACATCTACATTTTGTAGGTTGAGCAGTTAAGAAAAAAGCTCAAAACCAGAAATTTTAGTGCTTTTCCTTCGGCACAATTTTTATCAAATGAGACAGACCGTTGAAATGTTACACTAAATGTTGTAATACCTTAGATAAGCTAATTGTTGGCTTGATGTAATACTATAGATATGGGGTCATAATGATGCCATTACATGAAATTATCCATTTGTTATCAATAACTCTAAAAGTAATATGTGTGCGGCGTGGTTTCCTTTTACATAAAACCTAATTACCACCTTCAAAAACATTTATATCTCCGATGCAAAAGACAACATAGTTCTGTAAATCCTTCTGGTATGGGCATGTTGTTATCCATCCAACAATTTCCGAACAATTTTTATATTTTCAAATAAATGCAGTTCTTCTAAATCACGACAGGCTTTGATGTCAAACCCTGTTATTTTAGCATGTAATGTATCTGCTGACTTTTCTTTTTTGTCAAAAATAAAATGTGTTTTAATGGTGCAAAATTAGCATTTGAAATCAGTTGCGCAACGGCGACAGTTCGAATTTTCTAAACCAAAATATTTTTTTCGTTTTCTTTCTCGCATACTATTAGTCCTATATTAGATCTATTTCTTATTAACAGATCAAACCAAGTTCATTCCCAAGTCTAGGTTCCTGTGATCATAATATTGTCTTTCATGAAATCAAGCTAAATGTAGTTAGGCCGTCAAAGAAACAAACCATTCTGAAAAGGCTTATTGGGAATCATAAACAAAAGAAAATTTTGTCAATTACTTTGAAAAACACGCTGGCTCTGAACCAAATGTGGGATGGGGAAATCTTAAATGCAAACTGAATATTCAGAACTATCAAACAAATACATCCCACGCAAAATTACAAAATCAAAATGCGATTTACCATGTCTCAAAAAGTAAATAAAAAATTGATGCATTAAAGAGACAAACTATACGATAACGTATGACATCATCAAAGCAGGAATCACCAAAGGTTTATCACTTTAAAAACAATAACACACAAAGAAATTAAAAATCTATATTCAAATATTATAATATTATATATATTTCTAGAGAGTTTGAACCTGCAAAATGGAAAATGAAGAAAGTTCCATTCTTTTGCAAAACACAGAAAATGTCTTTCCTCTTAAACATGATGGTTTGAACGTACTTAAGGGATTCTTATTTTCTCAATTTAGACATTCATCAATCCAACAGACAATGCAAACATCTTAAATTAGCAATTTGAATCTGTGTTAAAACACAGCCATTATAGGGTTTACAACAGCTGTGCTAACGTTATATATTTTAAACCAGTACAAAATTCACCGGATTCTATTATACATTATATCATCATACCATTGGAAGATGTACAAAAATTCTCTAATTTTAATCCATTTAAGGCATAAGGCCCAGATCAGTTATCACTAAAACTCTCCTCAACTGTCAGATTGCTCCTTTCTTCAATAATTTTTTTAAAGCATCATAACATATCATTACCCCACACTTTCTGTGTAATGCTAATTTCCCATAGGTTATTGGGAGTTATTTATACTGTTTTTTATAATGAATGTGTACCAAGTGACAAAGAAATTTGTACTGTTACAGGGTAAAAGTATTTTTAACAGTATAAAATCTGGTCACATGGTCTATTTTCTAAAGAATATAAAATGAAATCATCATAAAAAATCATAACAGTTACTGTTCGGGGTAATAAAATAAATAACACATATAGGGTTTTTAAGTAACAGAAAGATATCATCCCAAGGAAAACACTGTTACCCGTTAGCGTTACCCACACACTCATATGTTATTTATATACTGGTATCGTTACATATGACTTGAAAAGAGCTACTGTTACACTTGTTTATAAAAAGGGCATACATTTAAAGCTAGCAATTATCGCCCTATCTCACTTACATGTCTTATATAAAAATGATGTCCAGAACATAATTATATTGGTTTCAAACATAATGGCCTACTTTGATAACATGACTTACGTGCAAAACATAGTTGTGAATTCAAACTTCTGTCATTCACACAAGAAATATTTGATGCTAGAATCCTAATGAATTTCAGCAAAGCACTTGATAACGTTTCTTTATAAATTCATATAACTTGGTATTAACGAACATGCTTTATGCTGAAAACAATTCTTTCTTGACTGACTCACTTCCAAAAGGCTCCGTAATTGGTTCAAGTCTATTTCTATGTTACGTCAATGACTTACTGGACTCAATTAAAAGTCGTGCCAGATTACCGGTATTTGCAGATAATGGTAAATTAAATAATATAAAGATATTAAAAAGACAGGTTACAAATCTTAAACTTGTAATACTTCCATATTTAATATGCAGGTATACTTGTGGGTTTGAGTATCGCTAGTGGAAATATTCGACAGGTTTTGATTCCAGGAGGAGGAGGGCTTGTATCACCTTACTATGATCAACATTGTGACGTCATTTGTAACGAGGAAACACATTCCTCGACGTCACTTTGCGCTACAGATGGCAAATTATACAGTAAGTCGATTGCAATTAAAGAATTTATGTTTAATTTCTAAAAAAATCCAATATATCCATATAGCAAAACACTTAAATATAATATACTTTACACTAAAGAGACACACTTTCATTCAGTGTTAGGACAAAAAGCATTGGTAGTTTTACATTAAATATATTACTTTACAATTAGTAAGCATTTTTATAAACATCATAGAGATAACAATATACTTCTCTCTACTTTTTATTAGGTTCACAATGTGAGTATAGAAATGCTCAATGCAAAGCCTTGAAAACTGGTGACCTTCTCACTATAACAAACTACGGTGACTGCGTCACATTAGATACGACATGTGACGTAATGAGGCAGACGACTTGTTTAACTCACCATATCTCTCAATTGAGTGGAAATAACAATGGAGCTGAACCCGTATGTGGTTCAAATAACAAAACCTATGGTAACTGTTTATATCAAGCAAATCAGCCATATCTTGTATCCACTTTGCTTTCTTTATCGGTTTAACAACGGAGCTTAAATGTAAAAAAAAAATCCTGCAGTAAGATATTTCTACCAGTTCAAACATCTATCAAGTTTAACTTATTCATCCGTAACAAACATCTCACGAGAGTATGGGACAGTCATCTGTTCATGGACAAGTAAAATACTTGGGCAACTAAAGATATATGAGCTGCGTCACGACAAAACCAACATAGTGCGTTTGCGACCAACATGGATCCAGACCAGCCTGCGCATCCGCGCAGTCTGATCAGGATCCATGCTGTTTGCTTACCGACCCTTTTACAAGTAGAGAAAATAATAGCGAACAGCATGAATCCTGATCAGACTGCGTGGATGCGCAGGCTGGTCTGGATCCATGCTGGTCGAAAACGCATAACGTTGGTTTTTGTCGTGACGCGGCTCATATGATGATTTGTCGTTCAACTGCTCTCGTCAAGTCAGTTTTACCACAAACTATAATTTATCGTACGGATTCGATCAAAACTCAAAGATCTTATTATTTTATGTTCTTATTGTTTTATGTTTAATGGATTTATATAATAGGAAGTGTATGCGAGTTCCGTTCAGCACAGTGTCACAATGAGCTGATACAAGGAGTACATTCTGTGGAAACGTTGACCCTAGCCCATGATGGCGAATGTCAGATTGACTTATCCCAACTTTACATGGTTAGAGTAAATCTATTAACAGTTTACAATTATCTTCTTCAAAGAATATTGCATATGTTGATTTTTTTAGAATAAGATAACATGAAAAAAAAAGAAAAAAGAAAAGAAAAAAGATTATTTGTGTTGGTGTATTTAAAACTCTTTCTCTTACGGTTTAAAAAAATTTTTGGGTTCTTCTTATCTTTGATACAGTATATATAGTGTCTTTTTTATTTGTGTATATTTTTGTTCTTTACTCCATGACACAAAATGAAAGAAATACCATTATTTCCAAATTGTATAGGTTAATTGTTCTAAGTACATACTGATAAACACTGGTCTGGCAATAGAAGGAAGTGCAAATACGTATCCACATGGCGTAGCTTGTCCTAGAAATTACCAACCTATCTGTTCAAAGGAACACAGGACATTCTCAAATGAATGCACTTTCTGTAACTACTTGTTAGCTACACATCTTCTACGTATGTATATGTTTTTATAACAATGTACGGTATTTTATTAGTGATATTCAGTAGACAAATATAGCATAATTTGCTTTGTGTTTTTATCATTCATGTATATAATAACATCACTTTGAAGATAAGTATGAAAGATATTCGAGTTATTTTCACCGTGATCATTCACATTTAACTTTAAATATATCAAATCTTAAACGTGAATATACCGCCAATGACTATATCATATCACTTTGAACATGGAACAAGCCATTTTTAATTTCCTGCTACATTTAATCTGCCATATCTCCTCCAGATATAAAGAAGCATTAGTATGTGAAACTTTTATCATAACAGTCATGTAACACTTTACAGTACATTATAAGATTACTCTTTTTTTTCATTTTCAGCAAAGAATGATTTTGTAACGTATGCACTCCATGATGGTAGCTGTACAAGCGCAGAAATATTTGGTTAACCGAAAAATATGTTCAATATATCGTGTACTTCCTCATTAAAAGATTAATTTATATAATAGCCTTTTGTTTTATTTATTCTTTTGTTTCAAATATGAAAATAAGTATTATATTTCTATATGTGTCTAGTTAATAGTAAATATATATGTATATTGAACGTTCAGACGTTTAAAAAAGAATAAACGAAGAAGAAAAAATTTTAAAATAGAAAGCTGATAATTCAAGAATATTTTGCCTTTACAATAAATACAGTACATGCATTAAAAGAAGATTTCTTAAGAAAGCGTTTAACAACAACACAAATGTCACGTGACTGTAACGTTGAATTTTAGAAACATAGCAAGTAAATCAAAATTTAATACCCATTAAACTAAACTACTTAACTAGTTACTATGGTGGCATTTTTCTGCATCCAGATAACCATATAACTAACTAGTTAATTAAAAGGTAAAATAGTTACGTAGCTAGTTAACCTCTTAATTAGCTAGTTAGTTATGTGGTTGACTAGTTACGTAACTAGTTAGTTACGTAACTAGTTAATTTTTTTCAATAAATAAAAAATCATATCGGGAAATAATTGCATGTTAGTGCCTACAACTGCCATCCTTCTATTATTTTACCAGCTTTATATTAAGTGATTAACTAGTTACGTAACTAGTTAACCTCTTAATTATCGAGTTAGTTATATGTTTATCTGGTGGCAGAAAAATGCCACCTTAAGTTACAGATACATGTATGTTATTTTCTTTTTTTTTAAATTGTGCATTTATGTACAAATGGTTATGTTTAGTTTCTGTCAGCATTTAATTTACTTAGAGGTATTTCGGATTTAATGAACACTGTTTTGTTTTCATTGTTCTTTTTTCATTTGTTGACTTAAACTGTAAGAAATTTGGTAAGAATTTACATATGGTCATTAAAACATTGGGCGAAAAGCAGTACAATGTCTTTCCTATCTAATTGACCTTTACAAAATAATATTTCACAAGATAAAACAATCCCAAATAGACAACAGGACAAACGTGTTCAACAGATAGATAAGTATATCTTTAATTCTATTTTTAGATTATTTATATGATATTACATAAGAAGTGGTCAACTTTTCGTCCAAAGCTGACCAAATTATCAGTAAATCAAGTCGCTCGTCAATTAAAAGGCTGTTTTTTTCTTCTTGTAAAATGGATTATTCCTTTCTTTGTAAGTAGTTTTTACCACGGTGAATTTGTCATAAGTTATGCCGTTTTTCAAGTCATTCATTGACATTGATAAAGCAAAGTTTGTAAAGACACTTTAAAGCCTCTTAAAAAGATATTTTTGTACAAATATAAAACATGGGTTTTATAATGTTGTAATTAAGAGCTTTTTAGATGCTTATTACCTGAAGTAAACAGTGTTAGACGTGAAACTGTTCCTGATGAAGGCAGCATGATTGTAAACAAAGTTGTATTTTAACTTCCATACAAAATACTAAATCATTATAACTCTGCTGATTGCCAAAACACAAAGGAAGCAAAAGATGGTTCGGCTATATTGCCAATAAGAAAAACGTTGGGAACTGAAACAATACATCCAAAATGAAAAGCTTTTGAAAAATGAAAATATTACTATTTTCATGCTTAATGGGCTTTTAAATGAATCGTGCATATATTTACCACACGGGAATTATTGCTATTTATTTTGCTTTCCTAAATTTTAATCTATCTTACATAAACATGCGTATGACTCATCATCATTTCGTTCAACAGGTATACTTTCCTGCTTGGGCATCGCAACTGGCAATATCCGGCAAGTTCTGATTCCAGGAGGCGGTGGTCCTGTATCCTCTTATTATGGTCAACATTGTGACGTCATTTGTGACGAAGAAACGCACGCTGCAACATCAGCATGTGCAACTAATGGCATATTGTACAGTACGTGTTGAACATTTATCAAGTAGATGAATATTTTGTAGAATGTATGAGGTAAACTCGATTTTAGATTAAAGTATACGTAAATGCTTTAACGGGATATCTTTGTTGTGCTACATGTTAAATCATAGTAAAAACAACAGAGTACGAACCAAAACAGAGTTGACTGATACATTTTCGTTACTAACTTTCAACTTTGATTAGAACAACCGAGATACGGACTTTGACTTCGGAATTACACGGTTGTAATAGCTTAAATAAAGAATGTTTAATTCTGACACAACCCCCCCCCCCCAAAAAAAAAAAAAAAAAAAAAAACAAAAAAAAAAAACAATTCATGTATTTATGATTTTAATTTTTTTTGTTTTTAATTTAGAATCACAATGTGAGTACAGAAATGCCCAGTGTAAGGCAATAAAAAGTGGCGATCTTTTGAGTATAGTTAGTTATGGCGCATGCGTTACATTAGAGACACCATGTGATGTTGTGATGCAAACGAAATGTATACCTCATCAAATCTCTGCCATCACTGGGACTAGCGATGGATTTGAAGCAATTTGTGGCTCAAATAATAGGACATATGGTAAGTTTAGATTTACAAATGTTGATACAAAGTTAAACTGTCTTACTGATGTAGTCGCACGTGAAAGTATAAAGTTATCAAATATATGTGAGTTTTAATATACTTCACTTTCCTTATGCAAGATATATATCAAGGGGGCAAAATCTTGCCGGTCGATTTACAACGAGGGGAATTGTTATTTCCCCTGTTCATGTCCAAAGGTTTAAAATATGTTGTCACAAGGATTCCTGGAAAAATAATACAAGACCAGAAAACTAAATAATTAAAAAGGAACTGTTCACGTGGAATGAATCTTACAAACATATGAAAATCAACATGTTGGCCCATTAAAAACATGATCTTTTAACATGGTATAAAATATAAATATACGCATACAATAAAATATGTTTCTATTCGTATTTTAGATAGTACATGTGAATTCCGTGCAGCTCAGTGTCAACACGAACAAATGAAGTATGACCCACTGACTGTAGCACACACTGGCGAATGTCAAATTGATCCATCAAACTTAGTCATGGTCATTTATCTCTTTCTCTTTATTTTTCATTTTTTGATTTGACAAAAATATTTCATGTCTGTAATTTTAAGGTTATTGAGATTACACACAATGATGTAATTTACATCAATAAATAAGTTTTCACATATATTTTTCAATTGATTTATAATCTATAACATTTGAAAGGGCGCTTGGGAAACGTTATAATAGAATATAGCTCTTTGTTCAACAGATACATGCTTTTCATCTCCAAGCTCTTAAATTAACGTTTATAAATACTGTCATTAAGATAAAAATGTTTACTTCAAAATGTTACATAATTAAACATATGTATGTACATGAATTAACACTTAAATATTTCAAATACCAGTTCCCCCATTCTTTTAAATAACTGAATTGTTATTTGAATTGTTTCTAGGTAAATTGTTCAAAAGTATATAATGTCCAACTCTGGTTTGGCCATAGAGGGAGGCAACATGTATCCACACATGCAGGGCTGTCCTAAAGATTATCGCCCTATATGTGCTATGGACGGCAGAACTTTCTCTAACGAATGTGGTTTATGTAATTACCTGTTGGCAACACACCATCTATGTAAGTATACTGTACTGACAACTGTTTTAATTCTACACATAGTTACCTCACAACACAACATTTTCTACACATTGTATTTTATTTTGTTGCTGGAGTGAAAAAATGCGTTGTTTTGTCTAAGGAATCATCGATTGGGTAATATGACACTTTCATGACGACTGAGGTTAAGGATCAAAGAGTTTTTATAAGATCTAAAAGTTATTGGATTGTTAGACATTTAAGTAGTCTTGTTATATTGTACCTTGATGATAATACATTTTTTTCATCTGTCCTTTTGAAGATGAAAATTAGATGTATTAGTTAATTAGCTGCTAATATTTAGTAGAAATTTTCTTGATCTAACAATTACATTTTATACAGAATAGTTTAAGATTTCTTAGTTGCTGTAAGATTGTAACTTGTTCTTTTTTCCATTTACTTTCAGATATTCATAATTTTTTTGTGGTTAAAAACGAAAACAACATTTTATGACTGCGATTCAATATGACATACTTTCCTTAAATTCTCAAAGGACTTTGAAAATCTAGTCACAAAAAGTTTTGTTTTAAATTTTTATCATATTTGCTTTAACTCAAACCGTCTTTATTACATTGACGAGCATTTGATTCGCCGATCGCTCAAAGAAGGCCTATCTAAATCCGTCAAACGTTTTGTTTCGTCTGTATCATATATGATATGATCATATTAATTGGGCATAATTACGAAGATGCGAATTTCCCTGCAAAAATGTAGGTACACTATGCTTTTGGGGAATCAAGTTAACTTTGAATGGTTTATTTCCCGTATTTCTCGAGTGTTTTAGATTAATAATAGTGTTGAAGAAACGTTGTAATTATATTGTGTATATTTTACTATATTTTCATTTTCAATATTTCTGTCTTCAGCAACCAACACATTTGTTACGTATGCGCTACACGAGGGGCGTTGCACATCAGCCGAAATCTTTGGATAATCTAAATACATTATTCATCTTCTGTTATGTATGTTATGCTAACAAATAAATAGTCTCTGTGAAAAAGTTGTTTAAAATGTTAAGTTTGACCTCAGCGTCTACGGATTGCTAAAGTGAATTGACATGCTACAGTACATTTACAACCATACCATTAGCAGAACATCAGTTGCATAACCTGGAGATTTTCTTCATTCTCAGACATTAATACTATCTTATCACAATAAAGAAAATTTTCGCAATATTTGCATATTCTTCAAAAAACTACTGTTGCTACTTTTATCATTAATATAGATATTCAATAGAACTGAAGAAAGCCAACATTATTGTCTTACTGGGAACCTATCAGTTGTACCTTTCATAAGATTTGACGTAGTTATAAAGAGATTGATTTACATTTTTTCAATAATTATTAAAGTTGCAGTTTCCTTTATCTTTTATTTTTTATTCAATAGATCGATTCTACTGACCGAATCAAATGCTTTTCAAAATCAATGAAAGCACAAAGAGCATGTAAGTAAGACACATACCTAAACATTACAAAGGCTGGCGTTTTGTCATAATTCCCTGATTTTGGTATTGGCTAAGTAATATTTTTAATCAAGTTGAGGGCACTGTTCCTTTTTCAAAAAGAACAGTTAAGAATATTGTGCACAAAAATTCTCACATACACGTTTTTTTAAATATGAAGCTTTGTTTTTTATAGTTTTTATGTGGCCTAATATTCCATTTATGTTTTTTAAAAGTAATTATTTAGCTGTTGGACGTATACAGTTACCGTAGATATTTGATTTTGTTTCAATGTTTAATGTTTCAACAGGATTATTTATGTTTAAAAATATTTCAAAAATCATCTTTTAATGAATGAAATATATCCAATACTCCCCCAGAAAGGGTTGTTCTGTTATTTTATTTATATTAGACGCTGATGAGACTACTATTTTCAAGAACATTACATATAATTTATACATGTCATAGTCAAATGTAAAAGTAAAGTAAAAGTTACTCTTTATTGCTTAATTTATAGTTTAAGTGTACAAGCGCACATCATGATACATGTATCATTTTCAAAAAATGAAAAACCAGATCATTAAGAAAGGCTGCTTCACATTACACTTTGCTTATGCCTACGTCGCATTACAAGCAGGAACCGGCCAAGATCGGAGAGAAACGATTTTGAAGGTTTTCGAAGGGTACTCGCCCGGTCACCTGGTAGATGTGTGAAGTTGGCGGCCTGGCGGCCTAGCGGCCTGGCGGCGTGAAGTTGGCGGCCTAGCGGCCTGGCGGCCTAGCGGCGTGAAGTTGGCGGCCCAGCGGCCTGGCGGCCTAGCGGCGTGAAGTTGGCGGCCCAGCGGCCTGGCGGCCTGGCGGCCTAGCAGCCAAAAATTTTAATGTTGTAAAAATGTTTTTTTTAACAATAAAACGGCATTTAATGAAGTTTTAAAGATAATTATTGTTATTTAAACGATATATCTAAAGAAAAAATCACTTTCAGAGATTTTTTTAATTTTGTCATTTTTGTGAAGTTGGCGGCCCAGCGGCCTGGCGGCCTAGCAGCCAAAAAATTTTAATGTTGTAAAAATGTTTTTTTTAACAATAAAACGGCATTTAATGAAGTTTTAAAGATAATTATTGTTATTTAAACGATATATCTAAAGAAAAAATCACTTTCAGAGATTTTTTTAAGTTTGTCATTTTTGTGAAGTTGGCGGCCCAGCGGCCTGGCGGCCTAGCAGCCAAAAAATTTAATGTTGTAAAAATGTTTTTTTTAACAATAAAACGGCATTTAATGAAGTTTTAAAGATAATTATTGTTATTTAAACGATATATCTAAAGAAAAAATCACTTTCAGAGATTTTTTTAAGTTTGTCATTTTTGTGAAGTTGGCGGCCCAGCGGCCTGGCGGCCTAGCAGCCAAAAATTTTAATGTTGTAAAAATGTTTTTTTTTAACAATAAAATGGCATTTAATGAAGTTTTAAAGATAATTATTGTTATTTAAACGATATATCTAAAGAAAAAATCACTTTCAGAGATTTTTTTAAGTTTGTCATTTTTGTGAAGTTGGCGGCCCAGCGGCCTGGCGGCCTAGCAGCCAAAAATTTTAATGTTGTAAAAATGTTTTTTTAACAATAAAACGGCATTTAATGAAGTTTTAAAGATATTTATTGTTATTTAAACGATATATCTTAAGAAAAATCACTTTCAGAGAACTTTTTTATTTTGTCATTTTTGTGAAGTTGGCGGCCCAGCGGCCTGGCGGCCTAGCAGCCAAAAATTTTAATGTTGTAGAAATGATTTTTTAACAATAAAACACATACGCGTTATTTCATACTTGTTCGTTTTTTTGATAATATCGATCAGCCGAACAGGACATAAGAATGGCAGACTGGATCGCAGGCTAATATATGGTGTACAATTTCTGTAACAAATTTGAATTGTCCTTTATGAAGTTTTAAAACATTTTTTCTGGTCCCATCCAATTTATTATCCCCGTTCAATCCATGAGTATAAGTCATCCTTTACTGACTTTACAAAATAACTTTTGCTTACACATTTATTAACAATAACTCATGATTACAGATTGGGCTATGGTCATACACTAAATGATTACCTCCTTGTTATTGGATGAAACTGAAAAGTTGAATGGTTGGGATTCTGATTGCTAGCACAAGTTATTCGGGTGAAAAATGTATTAAATGTTTCCATGTTGTCATTTTAACGCTATTTTTTGTTAGTTCAAAACGTTAACTTGTAATTTTTAAACATTGATTTGTTTTAACATTTGTATATGTTGTATGTTGCTTGTAAAAGTATGTAGTTGTTTACATTATTATCATGAATCACATGTTTGTCAATATAACGTTTTGCTATTGCTGTACTTTAACACTTCATTCTTATGGTGTTGTATATACGGATATTCCCAGAATAAATATACAGTACCTTTGCTTTGTAAGGTTTTGCTCCCATTTTCCATCTGCATCGCATAATTGTTATACCTCAACACCGCATAAATTATGGTAAAAAAAATACATTTTGTTACAATGGTGCCAATATTTGGAATAGAATCTTATTTTATAACGGTCATATTATTCTTTAAAATCTTTTGAAAATAAAAATAAAAACATAACTTGTACACGAAATAAATATCTTTATAACCATATCATTATGTTATAATACTAAATTATGCATGTATATAATAAATAAAGTATTGTTATGGCGAGTGGTTAGCGCGTCGAAATAGTCAACTATGTATCGCTCACCGTGTGGGCACAAACCAAGACAGGGGCAAGCCGTTATTTCTTGAGCAAGAAACTAAACACTAAATGAACAAAGGCTACCAGGTCACGAAACAACGGAACTACTATGGCGAGAGGTCGAAAGTACGATGACGATGATACGATATTATGCCGAGTTTTCAACATCGTGGTTTCATTTGTTTTTGTTGTTTTTTTTTTCTATTTTTTTCTTCTTTATTTTTTCGACTTTTAACCATCATAAATTCGTTTTAACGCTGTTTCGCGTTATATGTGTGTCGTGATGGCTGTAATGGGACATCGTGGAGATCCCTCAAGAGCAATATTCCAAAGCAAATATATATAGTTGACACTTGCAGTCTCTATTTTCTTTGGAGTCTATTATTGAGAGATAATAAATTATATTATACCTCATTTGCATACGGTCTTCTATATTCAATATGACGTCATCCGGTCCAAAAACCGCATACAGACCGGGGGCGGTCCATAATTCTTACAAGTAAAATGGTTTTCTGCGGGGAACATTTTAAATGATATAAGATATTTCATTTAACTATTTTCAAAATTGTTGGGGGGACAACATATAGTCGATCAATATAGAAGAAGGTCATTGGAAACTGGTGACCGTTGATGACCGGAGAAGGTCGAACATAAAACAATTATTTCTTTTTAAGAATATGATTCAATAGGCCTACCATTTTATGAATAATTCCGAACAAAAAAATAAGTAAACACACAAGTTTACGCAGAAAATATCTTTATTTATTATGGCATATGCCACTACGATCGAATATTTCAATTAGTATGTATCTCAAATTTTACAGACAATAAATTGTTTATGTTAAAGAAACATTGATAATTTTCAAACACATCATTCAAGTTTTTCAACCTTAAACGGTAAAATATTTAAACAAAAATTACAAATATCACGTAACAGTTATTTTGTTCTAATTAGATGTAATTCTGCCTAATTCCCCAGAGGTAAATCCGTCATGAACCGGCAAACGGTATTCAGCCAGGTTTTCGAAAGTTCAGTTAACCAATAATGTAAGGTTTACATATCCCGTGCTCCTCCATGTACCGAAAACAGGTCACGTGCTCCTCCATGCCTCAAAAGTTAAACGCGTACCAATACCCTGCGGTCTCCAGACCGCAGGTTAAACGTAGCTTTCACGACGTGCGAATTTCACGACGACACAAACAGACGATAACAGTCAAAATGGATAGGCGATTTGTCTCTTTATCAGAGACATAAATGTACTACATGTTGATCAAAAGTCATGTTTTTTTTTTAATTTAGTTATAAATTTTATTTATACTGTTTGTGAAATTCTTAAAGTCCGGGTTATTTTGCCTAGTAACATTAAATTAATATTGAATTTCATTAACAAAAATGGAATCACAACTCCTAAATCATCGGTAATCGGAATATTAAAAGAAGAGCATACACAAAATCCGTTTAGGGTTTGAGATATTTTACACACTGAAAAGTAAAATTATTATTTGAAAGCAAATAATAGTAAAAATGACAGCACAAAACAAGGGGATGAAAGGATTTAGATTCGGTATAATAGAACAAATAAAACATGGCCTTTCGTGGAAAATGCAAGTTTAGGGACTAGTTGGTCAGACTTCGGAAGGTATATGGACCTCAGCTGCGCTTCGGGCCAGACCAACCAGTCCGTAAGCTTGCATTTTCCCCGAAAGGCCATTTTTTATTTCTTAAATAAACCCCATATATCATTTCCGATATAGGGCCTTTTCTGTTCTAATATGTTTGAAACCGGTTGTACCGTCCACAAAACTGGATCCCG